GATCTGCGAACAACGCGTGAATGAACGAACGAACAACGGGTGAACAACGCGCGACGTGAAGCGCTGGCCCGCGAGCAGCGCGTTGCAGTTCGATGCAACGAAAAATGAACAATGGGTGATGAACAATGGAAAAAAAACAAGTGAGCAACGCGCGACGTGAAGCGCTGGCCCACGAGCAGTGCGTTGCAGTTCGTGATGATCTGCGAACGATGAATGAACAATGGGTGATGAACAATGGAAAAACAACGAGTGAACAACGGGTGATAAAAAACTGGGTGGACAGTTCACGAACAATGCATGAATGACAAAAACGAATGATGAACGACAGTTAAACAACACACGAACAATGGGTGAACAATGGATAATTAACAATCGGTACTGAGCAACCATGCAGTGGATAGACAACATCGAATAAAAACAATATCATATCAGGAGCGGATAATAGAGATCATATTTATATTCATATCATCGTGTATTGTATCATATCGTCATATTCCTAGTCATATTCATCAGCAAAAACAATAATACAATAACACGAAACGACAAAAACAACAAATCTAAGATCAACATAATTAATTAAATAAATAATTCCTAGTTAATTCAAGGCATCAACATTGTTATCATACCAACATACTCGAAGTTAATCGCAACAAATCAATCAATCCAGCGCAACCAAAGAAATAATATACTAGTTAGACTCTCTCTATACACAGGCTCTACGTCTTTTTATAATCTCAACCAAACCCCTCAAACGAACCAACGAGAATCGCTGCCTGCGATTATTCGTAAACATTCGCGCCGATAGATGGCGCCGCGCGCCGCTCACCTTCGTGCACTTGACGCAGCGCGTGGCGAACTTCTCTTCGTAGCAGGTGGCGCAGTAGATCTCGTTATCCTTCGGTATGAAGCTGCGACAGTGCCTATCGCTGCTTGCATGGACGCAGGGCAGAAGCAGTGTTCGTGCCACTGATGGCCCTTGTACTCCATCTTCCTCGTACCTAACACAACACAGCACAGCGATAACACATGGATAGTGTATATGTATATATATAAATAACTAATTACTAAATAAGATAAAATACATATAATATATATACATAATATATAAATAATATAAACATAATCATATATGTTGTGTATATATATTATGTATATAAACAATTAAATAATATGATATGAATATAAATATGTCATACAGTAAAACCGTCCCATAAAAGAAAAAAAACGTGGATTTTAAAGACCTCCAGGCTGAAATTGGAGCCAATAAAGCACCTATTATATAAGAAGCGCTCTGTCAGGCCTGCAAAATTAAACTAGGTTCTTTAATAAAAAAAATACCGGAACAATTAGAGCACAACTGGGGCAATCAAGTTATGTGTGCTAAACCATTGAACCAACAACATGTGGTTCGCAGATAATTTCATACTCCTCGACAGGAGGTATTGGATTTTCCAAGGGTATTTTGCTCATTTTGCCAGTAAATTGCTTGGGGGGCTTGATTTGAAAATACAGAGGATATGCGACCCATAGAATATTTTCTGAAACTATAACAATATTGTATGTACGAGTCGATAATGTGCAACATATCCCCCACCCCCAATTAAGAACTCTTTAAGAACCTCTTCAGCTGATTTCTCACTATGTACTCATATTATAAGAAGCCACTTTCAGCTGAAACCGAGAAAAGCAGCGGGTTCTTTTATGCGGGTTGTTTACTGATATATATATAATATATATATATTTATATATATATATATAATATTTTAATATGAATAGATTAGAAGTAAAACACACGAACACCCATGTAATATTATGGCAAAAATAAAGGAAAATCAGAATGGGTGTTAAATTTTTCAATTAATTAACCGATCACAGAGATGTGACCGAGTTGTCATTTTATAGGCCGCGATGGAGAAAGGCGCTTGCCGAAAGGCTTGAATTACAAATTTAACGACCTATTATATTTTTCTACATTTATATATTATTATATATATATATAATATAATATATATTATATATATATAATATTATAAATATATAATATTATATAAGTATGTATATATATATATATATATATATCTAACTGGCTGTGTGGGCGCGAGACATAGGCGGGACGTGAGAGCCGAGCGAGAGAAAGACGAAGGAAAAGAGATAGCGGGGAGAGAGAAAGAGGCAAAGAAGGGCAAGAGCGAGAGAGCGCGAGAGAGGAGAGAGAGAGTAGAGAGGCGGCGCGGAGCAAAAGAGGGAGAGAGAGAGAGAGTACGGCGCGCGGGCGCGAGAGAGAGAGATAGAGCAGAGAGAGAGAGAGAGAGTTACGCGCGCGCGCGGCACGGCGCCGCCGAGGAAAAGAAGGAGAGAGAGAGAGATGAGAGAGAGAGAGAGGAGAGAGAAGAGAGAGTAGCGCTGCGCGCGGGAGAGAGAGAGAGAGAGTACGCCGCGCGGCGCGAGAATAGAGAGAGAGAGAAAGAGAGAGAGAGAGAGAGGAGAGAGAGATTTACGCGCGCGCGCTGAGAGAGAGAGAGAGAAAGAGAGAGAGAGAGAGAGAAAGAAAGATAGCGACGAAAGAGAGCGGCGGCGAGATGAGAAAGAGGAGGATGAGAGAGAGAGAGAGAGAAGAGAGAGTAGAGAGAGAGAGAGAGGAAGGCGAGCGCGAGAGGCAGGAGAGCGTGTGTATAGAGTGGCGATGAGGGGAGGTTAGGGTTGTGGTTATTGTTTTCTCAGCTAGCACAATACACGGCTGTGACAACATGCGCCCTGTGTTGATGTTCGAGAAACCAACGCACGGTAGCATGGCTGTAGAGAGAGGAGGGAGAGAGAGGGAGAGAGGGAGAGAGAGAGAAGGGGAGGGGAAGAGAAAAGGAGTGAGAGAGGAGGGGCGAGAAAGAGGGAGAGAGGGAGTGGGAGAGAGAGAGAGGGGAGAGAGGGGAGGGGAGAGGCAGAGAGAGGGAGAGGAGGGGGAGGAGAGAGGGGGAGGAAGAGGAGAGAGGGGAGAGGGGAAGAAAGAGGGTAAAGGAGAGAGGGGAGAGGAGGACAGAGGGGAAGGAGAGAGGGGGAGGAAGGAAGAGTCAGCGAAGGAGAGGGGGGAAGGAGAGGGAGGGAGGAAAGAAGGGGAAGAGGGAGAGAGTAAGGAGAGAGAGCGGGAGGGAAGATTGGAGGGAGACGAGCAGAGAGCGAGATAGGGGAGGGAGGGAGGGGAGAAAAAAGGGAGGCGAGGAGGGAGGGGGAGGGACAGGGAGAGTGGGAAGGAGGAGGGAGAGAAGAAGGGGTAGGCAAGAGAAGAAGGAGTAAAAGGAAAGAGAGGGAAGGGGAGGGAGGAGGGGAGAGAGAGAGGGGAGGAGAGAGAGAAAGAGAAGGAGAGAGAGAGGAGAGAGAGAGAGAGGGAGAGAGAGCGGGAGGCTGAAGGGGAGGAGGGGCGAGAGAGAGAGAGAGAGAGAGAGAGAGAGAGAGAGAGAGGAGAGAGAGAGAGAGAGAGAGAGAGAGAGAGAGAGAGAGAGATGAGAGAGAGAGATAAGGAGGATGAAGGGGGAGCAGTGAGAGAGGGGCAGGAGGAATGAAGGGAAGTGAGGAGGGAATGGAGAAGAGAGAGAGAGAGAGAGAGCAGGAGAATCATGAAGGGGGGTAGGAGGGAGAGAAGGGGGAGGCTGAGGAAAGGTGACAGCCGTGATAGCTACACTGGCGAGATGTTGTCAGGTTAAGATAACTTCCCTCTAATCGGGTGTCGCACTGTTTTCCCCAGGGCGCGCAGTGTCTTGATGAGGGACAGAGAAAGGAGAGGGTGGGAGAGAGTGTGTATGGTGGAGGAGTGAGAAGAGAGTGATGTATTGTGAGGAGTGCGAGCAGAGAAGAGTGATCGGTGTGAGGAAGTGAAGGAGAGAGAGACGAGTGTGTGTATCGTGTAAAAGAGAGAGCAGTAGATAGTTTATGTGTGGGAGAGAGAGAGAGTGTATTGTGAGGAAGAGGAGAGAGAGAAGGAGGCGACTAGAGAGAGGATGAGAAAGAGGGGAGAGAGACGGAAAGAGAGAGAGAGAGAGAGAGAGAGAGAGATACCCAGAGAGGAGGAGAAGAGAAAGAGAGAGAGAGAAAAGTGATGAGAGAGAGATGAGAGAGCGAGACGAGAGAGAAAGTGAGAGGGAGAGAGAGAGAGAAAGAAAGAGAGAGAGGAAAAAGAGAGAGAGAGAGAGAGAGAGAGAGCAGAGAGAGAGAGAGAGAGAGAGACGAGAGATATGACGAGCGACGAGTGTGGTTTGTGTGTGAGCGAGAGAAAGAGAGCGAAAGAGACGCGAGAGAGAGAGGAGAGGAGAGAGATGAGAGGCGGAGAGAAAGAGCAGAGGAGAGCAAGAGAAGAGAGAGAGAGAGAGGAAGAGAGAGAGAGTAGAGACGCGAGAGTGTCGTGTGTGAGGCTAAGAGAAAGAAGAGCGAGCGAGAGGAGATGAGAGAGCGGGCGGAGGGAAGAGAGCAGAGAGAGAGAGAGAGAGAGAAGCGAGAGAGAGCAGAGAGGGCAGAGCGAGAGAGAGACGACAGCAGAGAGAGAGGAGAGAGGAGAGAAAGAGCAGAGAGAGAGAGATGCACGCAGAGAGGAGAGACGAGAGAGTAGAGAGAGACGAAGAGAGAGAGTAGAGAGAGGAGAGGAGAGGAGGGGAGAAGAGACTAACGAGGAGACAGAG